GGGGGGGGGGGGGGCACCGAAGAGAAAAGGGTTGGGTGTAAAACAAAATTTTGAGTGAGTAAAAGGTTGGGTAAATGCATGAAAAACAAAACAACTCAAGGGTACCGCGAAGTCATTTCCAAAGCGCGACTCACTCAAATATTGAAGACCAAAAGCAATGTCAACAGTCGTATGTCAATACAAACTATACAATATGTAAATCAATCAGTCAAAGTCGCTCCTGATCTTGATCATTTTCCAATTTCCAAAGAAAGTACATGTGCATACAGCTATTTCAATTAATGTTGTCCACGAGCAAAGCGGAAAAGTCGAATACGAGCGCGAAAGGCTGCTGGGAATCGCTAACAAATTAATTAATTTTCAAAGCGGTCCCCAGCAGCCTTACGCGCTCGTATTCGACCGCTTTGCTCGTGGACAACCTTAATTGAAATAGCTGTATGCATATACGAGATACGACATGAAACTTCAGATTGCACAAGCAGTTATCAAACTCATGTCACAGAAGGACATGTACGACAACTGAATGGTATCTTTTTGTATGGTGTTACAGAAAGACACGCAGGGCCCAGGATAACGGCCAATCAACGGACAATGACCAGCCAAAAATGCCTCTTGAACGATCACTTTTTTACCTCGCTTGTCATTTTGACAATTTGACCGGCCACATTTTCATGCCTTCCAATGTGATTCTGACATCTTGAATTAAAACATGAAACTATGATGTATCGAAACAAGTTTCTAACAGTTTGTTTTACTGTTAGTGTAAGCGTATCAATGACCGGTCAAAAACAGATTTTGACCGAGCTAAAATCAAGTTGACCGGAGACCTATATCTCCCGTTATTTCGAGCCCTCTTACACGCACTATTATATTCCACGTAAAATCCACGTTGATAATCTTCTTTGCTTGACAAAATTTAAAGCAGTTTAATTAATACTTCAACATAATATAACAAGACAAACTCGTAAAGGCAGAGACACACCGGACGCGATTCGACAACGCGGCGGGATTTTTCAGTTAATAAAACAGCCAATGAAAGGAAATTTTAAAAGATATGTAGACCAAATAAACTCAAAATGTTATAACGCTTCTACATATTTGGAAAACTTAAACTAGGATCAAAGTTATCGGTCAGTGAAAATCGGAAAATCGCGCCGCGTTGCCATGAATCGCGCCGTTGGGCCATGAAACTAACGTTCTCCACAGTTGGAAACAGTTTGAAAGTCAATTAACAACAAAATGTTACTCACACGTTAAATTGATTGACAAGAAATTAGCTTAATAATATCCTCCTTTAAATTGAAATGGGGTCTGGTTATAGGAAGGCATTCGAGAGCCGTTTAAGATCCACGACGCGGCCAGCTCGACGACGCGCTTTCGAAACAAAGAAATTTGTCATGCAAGACAAAAACTGTGAATAATATGTGGTTCCAGATCCAGGGTATTCTCAACGGCTTTGTCATGCTCAACACAACGTTAAACTAACCATCATCACGTGAAAGCTTATTGCTACCAGAACCGCCGAGAGAATTCGCGGGGCCGGGGCAAATCTTCTCTGGGGGCCCCATGACATCATTATTTTTAAGGCAGACCCAAGTCAGTCACCCAACTAGACCTTAGCTAGACTGCATATGGAGCTACTGCAAGGAGCCCTCAATTTCAAAAATGCTCTGACCAATTTAAAGAACCCACTCAATTTTAGGCTCTCGCTCTCAAGTTGGGGCCCTATTAAGGTGGGGACCCGGGGCAATTTGCCCCCCTCTCGGCGGCCCTGATTGCTACCCAAGATGTGTTACTTAAAGTCGAAATTACAGCAAACTCATTGCATCGCTTTAGTCGAACGTAGCCGTTTTTAAGGTTATTCGAAAAAGCTTCAAATATTTACCGCAGTAATCAAATCATTCTTGAACCGAACTTCAGACGGCGTCGTTGAGCCGGCCGCGTGGTAGCTAGATCTTATGAACTTTCTGTTTTTTGAAAGAGAGGTTCAAGAGAAGATTTATCGTACACGCCTAACTGTTATAAATCCCATTAGCGTTGTTGATCGAAGTGCCAATAGAAATTTGAATCGGTCACCTCTATCAAACACGTTTCACAATCCAGTTTCAAGTAGGGAGACAATCTTTGCAGGTAAACATCAAAATCAGCAGGTTCACCCAGCCAAGATGCGTCGACGGTTAGAGCATCATCCGGCATGTCAAGATCCAGGGAGAACTCTTCGCAACAACCTGGCATTATGAATCCTTCAAAGGTCACAGTGTTGGCATTGTCATGACTGATAACTCCAATTTCAAATAAGCAGCTATCATCACCAGGACATTGTGAGTGGTTGATCTCCACACTCCAGTAATGGATACCATACCGAAATATACGATGACCGACAAAACTACCCCGGGGGAAACGAGATCTGGGGGGGCTTGATCCGCTGCTGCTTTGGGAAGAGGTGCTGGTGCTTGATTCGCTGCTGCTTTGGGAGGAGGTGCTGGTACTTGTTCCGCTGCTGGTTTGGGAAGAGCTCGGGGGATGTGATCGGTTGCGTCTTTGGGGTGGGCTGGGGGTGCGAGATCGGTTGCGTCTTTGGGGTATGCTGGGTGGACGGGACCTGTTGTGTCTTCGGGGTGGACTGGAGGAGCGGGATCTGTTGCGTCTATGAGGTGGGCTGGGGGTGCGTGATCGGCTGCGTCTTTGGGGTGGGCTGAGGGTACGGGATCTGTTGCGTCTATGGGGTGGGATGGGGGTGCGGGATCGGTCGTGACTTTGGGACGAGCTAGGAGTGTGGGATTGGTTGCGTCTCTGAGGTGAGCTGGGGGTAAGGGATCTGTTGCGTCTTTGGGGTGGGATGGGGGTGCGGGACTGGTTGTGACTTTGGGACGAGCTAGGATTGTTGGATTGGTTGCATCCCAGATGTGGGCTAGTGGTGTTGGATCTGTTGTGGGGTTGGCTTGGGGCAGAGCATCCATTGAGTTGAGTGGGGTTTGCAGCAGAGTTATTTGTCATCGCTAAAGTTGCAAGTAAATTGTTTGCAAAAAAGTTGGATGGCAGAAAAGACACATCAGGTGGATAAGGTACCTGAAAACAAACCAAGTCATTAAAGAAATGGAAATAGACTAGGTTGATTTAAAAAACTGTTACTATACTTTAGTACAAGTTTAACCCATTGAATCACATTGCATCCTGATGCACTGTTAAGCCTGCAGCACATGAGAGCAACTTGCTGAGCTAACCGCCTCACGAGGTTATTGGACTGAAACCTGACTAAACTAACTTTATCAGTTACACTGGATAGCTCTATCAGTTCTTAGCTCTGTCAGTTCTGTATAAATTGCATATCTTCATATATAGGTTCAGCACTAATCAATCCTGTTTGTTTATAATAGACAGCTCAATTGCCGATGTGTTGTAAAAGTTATGTTTTACTGTTAAGCATTAGCCTTTGCTAGCTTTAGGACATTCTCTATACTATGTTGAATTGATACCCACTTAGTTTTTATCACTTTTATGTCGAAAATTTTCAACATTAATTCATTGCCACCTCCTACCTCAGTGATGGCCCGGCACACTGGACATATCAAGAAGTTTCCAGTCATATCAAGTCTTGCGATACATTCCAAACAATACGTATGTTGACATGACAGAACTTTCGGATCTTTGAAATGTTCGAGACATATTGCACAGCTCAATTGTTCCTCGACTTTTGCTCGCAAGGACTCGGCCATGCCAGATCACACAAAGTCTTTGGCTTATTGTAGTCTAAATGAAAATAGTAATGTTGTTCAGTTTATAATTGTTAGTGGAACATATGAGAGTGTAAAGCTATTGAAATTATTCTCGAACAATTAATTTCTTCCCAACTAATTCAAGAACATATTTCTCCCATTGAAATGTGATTTTTGTTGTGGACACAATGTTTCCTGCTCAGACCTGCCTCCCTCCCCCCCCCCTATGCCCCCCTCCTCTATGCCTCCCCCCTCCTCCTATGCCCCCCCACACACACACACACACGCACACATCTAATTTTTTTATTGAAAATTTAAAGATGCTATATAATTTCAATAATTATAATGATTGAAGGTAATTTCAATATTGAAGTTCAAACTCAGGTAACATCCCCTACATGTGTGTCCCAACTCCAGATCGATGCTCCCTACATGCAAGCCTGAATATATTATTAACCCATTAAGCACCAGCGCTCTCCCCTTGACAAGTAAAATCGTCTGGCGTTAGACAGAGTAAAATACTAAAGTAGGGTGCATCAGGGTGCAATGCAACTCAACGGGTTAACTAGACACATGGGCAGATAGGCCAGTTAACCCATTAAGCGCCAGCGCTCTTCCCTTGATAAGTAAAATCGTCTGGCGTTAGACAGAGTAAAATACTAAAGTAGGGTGCATCAGGGTGCAATGTGACTCAATGGGTTAATATATATTTATTATTTAACATAAGCGTTATATAGAGTTTTTGGCCACTGAGAAAAATCGTATTTAAACACACGTAAAAAATACGATATTTTTACGTGTGAAAATATCATTTGTTGTAAAACGCATTGCCACGGACATTTTATTGTTTTTCACTGAATTTTGTTTATATACGGTAATAAACAGAAAAATACATGGGTGCTTGGAAATACCAGATTTATTTCTCGTGTTGAACACGATATCTCACTCGTTCGCTGCGCGCACTCGTGAGATATCATGTTCAACAGTCGAAATAAATCTCTGGTATTTCCGCGCACCCATGTATTATTCTCTACAATCATATATGTCATTTGAAAAATATGAAAAATTAAAAAGTGCTCTCCCCTACGAAAATCTGCCCCCTCTTATCGGAGACAAAACAAAAAGAAACCGCGAAGAATAATCAAAGTAAAGCGCAAAAAAATTAACAATATTATTGCTAAATACCTGATAAATTTATTTAAATAAAAGATTTTTTCAAAAAACTTTCCTCTCTTGGTTTTGCTTTTGTTTCTCCATTTTTTATTTTCACGTTTTTGTAACCAGGCCTTGATGAGTTCATTCAAGATGGCGGCTTCGCCAAGGGTGAGATTTTTTTCATATTTGTTGCTATATTTTTTTGTAGGAGTAAATGGAGTTTGATCATATAAACGTTACTGCCAATACGTGGTCGACACTGTGGTCGACACTCACAATTTTCAAGCTGTTGCGATTTTTGGTTTCGCTGGTATGCTTTTGGTTTTCGCGAAATTTATGGTGAGTTTACGTTCTTGGATATAATTTAATCCTGTACAGTACGTAGATTGCGTGCACACAGACCTGATTTCATTTGCATTTACCGAGGTATTAACATTGATAGATACAAGTACAAACGGCAAATTCATATAAATCTGTAGAGGTCGACGAGAGCTAAAACTTAATCAGAAAAAAGTTAAACAAATTTCAAGTGAAAACGCAAATAAAATTATGTCCTGTTGAGAACACACGTTGTTGACAAGTTGTTGGAACAGCATTGTCACAACTTGTTAACAAGCTTGCTACAAACCTGTTGAGGAGTCATCTTGTTGACAAGTTGTTGGAACAGCATTGTCACAACTTGTTAACAAGCTTGCTACAAACCTGTTGTGGAGATATCTTGTTGACAAGTTGTTCGAACAGCATTGTCACAACTTGTTAACAAGCTTGCTACAAGCCTGTTGATGAGATATTTTGTTAACAATTTGTTGGAACAGCATTGTGACAACTTGTTAACAAGCTTGCTGCAAGCCTGTTGAGGAGTCACCTTGTTGACAAGTTGTTGGAACAGCATTGTCACAACTTGTTAACAAGCTTGCTACAAACCTGTTGAGGAGTCATCTTGTTGACAAGTTGTTGGAACAGCATTGTCACAACTTGTTAACAAGCTTGCTACAAACCTGTTGTGGAGATATCTTGTTGACAAGTTGTTCGAACAGCATTGTCACAACTTGTTAACAAGCTTGCTACAAGCCTGTTGATGAGATATTTTGTTAACAATTTGTTGGAACAGCATTGTGACAACTTGTTAACAAGCTTGCTGCAAGCCTGTTGAGGAGTCATCTTGTTGACAAGTTGTTGGAACAGCATTGTCACAACTTGTTAACAAGCTTGCTACAAACCTGTTGAGGAGTCATCTTGTTGACAAGTTGTTGGAACAGCATTGTCACAACTTGTTAACAAGCTTGCTACAAACCTGTTGTGGAGACATCTGGTTGACAAGATAGACACACATAAAAACGCACAAGTTGTAACAAGTCTGCAAACAAGTCTGTTCACAAGCTGTCAACAAATTGTGTTCACACAGTTTGTTCGCAGTTTGTTGGAACAAGTTTGGAACAAGCTGTTAACAACTTGTAACAAGCTTGATGGCATTATCAGCCTTGTTACAAGAATGTGCTAACAACTTTGTTACAGCCATGATATAACAAGGTTGTTACAAGGTTGTCAACACAAGGTTGTAACAATCTTGTTATATCAAGCATGTAACAGACTTGTCAGAACAACCTTGCAACAAGTCTGATAATTTCGACAAGGGTGTTACAAGTTGTCAACAAGTTGTTCCAAACCTGTTGACAACTTGTAACAAGCAGTGCGAATACATCTTGTTGACGGCTTGTTGGCAGACTTGTTGCAAGGTGTGAGATTTTTGTGTGCATAGTTGGAACAGCATGAATTGGCACAACTTGTTAACAAGTTTGCTGCAAACCTGTTGAAGAGATATCTTGTTGACAAGTTGTTGGAACAGCATTGGCACAACTTGTTAACAAGCTTGCTACAAACCTGTTGTGGAGTCATCTGGTTGACAAGTACACATGCCAAAATCTCACATCTT